ACCCAACAACACACCCAACAACACACCCAACAACACACCCAACAACACACCCAACAACACACCCAATAACACACCCAACAACACACACAACAACACACACAATACCACACCCATTAACACACACAACAACACACCCAACAACACACACAAAAAACAACACACCAAACAACACACACAACAACACACCCAACAACACAACCAACAACACAACCAACAACACACACAACAGCTCACCCATCAACACACCCAACAACACACCCAACAACACACACAACAACACACCCATCAACACACACAATACCATACACGACAACACACTCAACAACACACCCAACAACACTAAATAATGGACTGCTGAGCTTGATCCAGTGGTTTTGCAATTGTTAAAAATATGGTCATATTTCATAAAATATAAGCTAATATACCCGGCTTTGCAAAGATTAGATTGACAATGGTCTAACATAACAACCCGGTCCATAAAATGTTACTTAATTTATTGCAGGAGATGGGCCTATAAAAATCCTTAACAACTGTAAATTGGTTGATGATACTGGTCCATAGCTTCCAACGGTTATCATTTCAAATGGTGGGGGTTGGGGGTTGGGGGGGGGGAGAAGCAGTTAACCTTTAAAAGTTGTATCCTTAAAATTGGTTACCTAATACGGTAAGTATTTCCTTTTTGATTATTTTCTTGGTGCTTCAGTCTTTATAAGAAATTATATTTATAACTTAACCTCTTCCAAAGTTATCTTGTTCTGTTATTTCTATCACCGCGGCTTGAACTACGCAGTGTCCATCATCCTTTATCTTGTAAAGCACATTCATATCTAAGTCCTGCACATAAATACTTAAGGTATTAAATTAACATCTTACATCATGAGACCCCATAGTGAATCGTTGCTATTCGATTGAGAGTCCCTGCCAATACCTGTCAAGAGGAGACCTGCCAAGACCTGCCAAAACCTGTCAAGACAAGACCTGTCAAGACCTTTCAAGACCTGTCAAGACCTGTCAAGACCTGTCAAGACAAGACCTGTCAAGACCTGTCAAGACAAGACCTGTCAAGACCTGTCAAGACAAGACCTATCAAGACCTGTCAAGACATGTCAAGACCTGTCCGCATTCAATTTGCTTCTAAATCTGTCAGAATTACCGAGGAAGACATCTTACTATCATGGGAAAAACTTTAACATCACCTAGACAACCCTAAAAATATGTTACGTTGCTTTTCCTAGATTTCTCATCATAGCGTTTAACACAATCAAAACGACGTTTAACGCCATTAAAACACACCTTATGATTGAAAAGCTTTACTCGTTAGATGTAAATTCAAATATTCAAGTGTGGGGACTGAACTTTTCAACAAATCGCCCACAACATGTCAAGGTGAATGACCAAATCATCAACAAGAGAAGTGCTTACTGACGCGCCACAAGGTTGCGTTCTCTCCCCTGCCCTGTATACAATTTAACCCAAAGATATGCAGAGCCCAAGCGACACCGTTCCAATCATAAAATTTGTTGAGGATACCACCACCGTTGGCTTAATATCTGAAAAGGAAAGCTTACTTAGTTACAACTTAGTTACGAGCTTTATCAATTCTTTTCTTCCGTTCAATGTCTCAAAAACGAAAGAAATGTTTGCCGAGTTCCGGAGGGGGAAATAACCCAATTGCAGATCTCACAATAAAAATAAAAAAATCACAATAGTGCAAATAGCCACATATAAGTACCTAGTTGTCACCATAAATAATAAGCTGACATGGCAAGAACACGGTTGAATTCTGTATTTAAAAAGTCCACAAACGACGTTCATATCTCAAAAACAATTGCACAATTGCAGCAAAAACAAACAAGTTATTAACTTATTCTCAAGTTCAGCTATTGGAAGCCTGATGAACTTCAATATTACCTGCTGGTATGGGGATTCATCGTCTGGCATCATCAAACACCAATTAAATAGACTAATCAAGAAAGCCAGGAGCATCACACAAACTAAGGATCCATTACTTGAAGAACTATTTGAAGAAAAAAGACGGTTTAAAATAATACTGAGTTTGGATGACACAGCCCAACCACTTCATCACAGATAACAGCTCGATCAGGGCGAATTCTGTCTCTTAAAGCTAGGGCCGAAAAAATGTAAAAAAGTCTTTTGTTCCCCAGTTAGAGAAAACTTTAGATGTCTTGTGTTTAAATTTATTATAATTGTAAAATCTTGTCTTGGTTAAAATGAGTATTTATTTATGTTCTGAAAATGAATACGACGGTGTAATAAAAAAAATCTTTTACATTTATTTGGATCGATAATAATCTTATTCTATGTTAAAAGAATCTTATTCACAAAATGATAAGCAACAACTTAACCTTTTAGAGTTTTCCCCAATATTCACCAACCCTTTCAGGCTTGCATCTCTTATCAAAATACGCAGTTTCTCGTGTGATCCAATCACAGCAGTGCACTTCAGCCGTCAGTTAAATTGTTCACAGTTGAATATTACAACACCCCCCCCCCTTATACCATCTTGGCCGTTGTATTTTACACTATGTTAAGCCAGCTTAAAAACGAATACAAGAATGAGATCTGAGATAAAAAAATTAACGAAATCTGGTAAAAGTTTGTTTAAAAAAATCAAAATCTCTTATAATACACTTTCACAAAAATAAAAATCTCTAGGCGTTTATTAAAAAAAAAAAGAAATATTCGCTCACTATTCAAACTCTCACGCATCTACTTCTTTGCAAATGTCAATCCTAGAGGGAATTATGCAATTCATGATTTGTTATCCCACCTGCATCTCTCCTGGGCCATTCCACTCTGCTCACCCATCCTCTAAAACAAGTTTCCTACCTGCATCTCTCCTGGGCCACTCTTCTCTGCTCACCCCTCCTCTAAAACAAGTATCCTACCTGCATCTCTCCTGGGCCCCTCTTCTCTCCTCACCCCCCCTCAAAAACAAGTCTCCTACC